ATTCTTTGTGACTGGCCAGCTTTAATAACGCACAGGCGAAATTTGTTTTATAAGGATTTTCTGTCACCAGAACAGATTAAGAGCTATTCTCTAGATTTAGTTTTGGACTTTGTTCACAAAGCTTTAAAGGGCTTTGTGTAATCAATAGTGAAATTGGTACAACAGGACTCTTCTGGCTGTAGTATCGACTGTTGGGCGATTTCACGTCAAAACTTTAATAATAATAATTATATTATTAATTATTTATTAATTAGTATACTAATTTTAAATATTTTTAGTAATAATTTTACAGTTTTACTTTTTCTTTAACATTTCTTTATTTTTTATTCTATTATTATATACGGAAAATGTTTTTTAAAATAGTCAAACCTTTTGAAACTAATTAAAGTGCTATGATAACAGTATCAGCTAACTTAATTTCAGTTTAGTTTAAGTTTTCCGTTTTAAAAGAATTTTATTAGAATAAAAATCTTTAACTTTTTATTTCGCAGTACTTTTTGTTGAAAAGCATAGCCGTTTGAGGTTCTGACTTTAAAATTCCAGAAGGTGCGATGCTTCCTCACTCGAAACATTCGTATTCTGTGCATACGAGCACCAAACGTGTTCGAAATAATCATTAAAGAATTTATTTTTGCGCAAATTCTTTGGTGATTTTTAAAAATTACTTTTTACTTGTTTTATAGTTTAAAGCCATCTGGAAATGATAAATTTTCAACAGAATCTAACGCGTTCCGGATTTGCTGATCAAACAGAATTTTTATCCGCTTATCTGTTGCAATTGAAGTTACTTTTTCGCAAACGAGACCAACAAATCTATCTCCAGACTTCACTCAATTTTTATTTATTTTTATTTATTTTTATTAGCAATGAATTGACAAAACGAGATAATAAAAATACCAAAATCGCATTTTAGTAGTATTCTCAGTACAGAATCGACAATTATTTTTATCCATTATTTACGAATATTTGGAATTCGAACTACAGTCGCAAAAAGTGTCGTAATTTTTATGTGTGATTTAATCTATTTTTCAGAATTTGGCCTTGAAAATTAAATATTTTTTCATAACAAAATCGTTGAAAAATATATATATTATTATCATCTACATATTATATATAATTTTTTCATTAAATAAAATTAATTTTACTTAATTAAACAAAATGGCACAAGTCACGCTATTGAATGTTGAACGATTGTTTAAATTACAAATTAAATTTAACCATTCAAATATTTTTAGTATTTAATTTTTTTTTTTTTGTTGCTTTATTTCGACTTGTTATTACGTAATTGTTAACTTTCACATAATATTTCTATTACCGCACATGCTGACTTGAATCGAAGCTCACTACCTTTCATGCAGACCTCGACGTAGACTTCATTGCACTAGCGCTGCACGTTGTCTCATTCCACTGGAGTTGTTTAATTATTCAACGCCGTTGCAGCAAAAGTTATTACACATGCGTAAAGACCCGCTGAACGACGCGTGACGCATCTGAATTTGTAAATAAGATTCACATTAACAATTCACTTTTTGCAACTGTTGAAGTTTCTTGTTTGGGAGATCGTGCCGACATTTTTAATTAAAACATTCACACACATTCATACTTAAATAAAAACTCATACATTCCCTAAACCAGATAATAGTAATCGGATATAATTTTATATATACATCACACTCTCGCTAATACGAACAATTATGTTCCAATTTTTTTACTCCTTCCAAATAATAGGTTTCCACAAAATACTTAAAATAGACCCATTTCTTTAACACTAAAAGAGTAAAGAAATAGGAACTAGTCGTGGAGAGCTAAATTTAGAAAATATGCTAGAGGGCGTAGCAATTCGTAGCCCCATCTATAGATTTTTTACCGTAACGATTGCACACGAGTTATGTTTTGTTATTACTTCTTTACGAAGAAACAGGGTTTCAAAAAAGAAAACTTTGATCTTATTTCCTTAAACAATATTATTAAACTCTGAAACTTTAGCTAAAACCCATTCGTCACACAGACTAAAACGGTGTTATATCAAACTTTGTATCTGTAGATAAATGTTAGGCATACGTGGTATATATAAAACCTTAAAGCGATTTTTTATTTGCAGTTAGTGGATAGTATCAAAGCCACAGTGTAAGACTTGAAACTACTAAAATCATTCCTTTATGGATGAGGTGGGCGCAGCTGCAACCCCATTCCCAGAATCAGAGGGAAAGGTAAAAGAAACATAGTTTTTGTGATTACAAATTTATCTAAGTTAGGGATAATCACTTAGTGAACATTAATTATGGAATATCATGGGTATTACCTAAAAACTGGGACTATTTAGAAGTATACTCTGTGAAGTTGATTGCGATATTGGCGATTGTACAGCAGAACTGAGTGGAGAAGCGAACCATTTCGTCGAAATTAAGAGTGATTTGGGGAGGCCTGTGGAAAAGAGTTTGGGGAAACTTGGTGGAAACTTCTACTGCGTGCAGAATATCGGGTGGAAGATTGTGCCGACGGGCACAATATGCTGTCTCTATGCACCAGAGACAGCAGATGTTCGCGGAATCTTTTCACTTTAGCGGTGGAGTAAAGAACTCGACAGGAGTTATAATGCCCATTGGACTTGTAAACCTTAAAGAGAAATGTTGGTAGTAATATATATTAAAAGCATTTCTTTTTGATTTGTTTTTGCTTCAAACGAATATTAAATCTTTTCATCAGCTCTGAATGATATTCGCCAATGAATATTTTACTCTTTTTGAGATAGTTAATGTGAATGATAACGAAAAAGTAGCTAATTTTATAGGAAATTGATTACAAGAATTCATTAATGATTTTATAGTTTAAATTTTTTTTATTCTTAGTTACGCTTTTATTATAATCAAAACTTAAAAGGAAGTAAAAATCCATATCCTTATCAAAAATTGACCCATGAACAAAAAAAATCTGAGTTCGAATTGCAGTCAAACATCACCAATAAGCATATGTAATTTTTACATATATGAAACAAACGAAGTGTGATAACAATAGATTGAGATTTTTCAATTTTGAAGCCCGAAATATCTAAATTTACACTATATTGACACATTATATAAATCACACTCCCGGGAAATTCAAATTCCACATATGTTGAGTTTCGTTATTTATATATTATTATTATTATGTTGATAACATATATGCACTGCGACCTTAAAGTCTATTGTGCCCTATTTATATATTACATTGCAATGAAAGATTTCAATTCGACCAAGACCAGAACTTGATTCAAAATTAACGGACAATTAACGGAATTAACAATATAAAACTTATTATTCATCTTGTCATCTTCATCTTATCGGTCTGTTCAAGAAAATATATTATATGGCCTATTATATCTCTCTCCTTCACTGCGTTTCATCTTGATAATCTTCATATACCATTTCTTCATAATAATGTAAAGGGAATATTTATTTATGTCTAGAATATTTTATTTAATAATTTTTTAAGTAAAATATTTATATTGAACATCAATTTTAAAATTCTATCTACGAAATGAAATCAGTTAAACAATATTAATGTTTCTATTTTATAACTTAAAAAAGTATTGTATGTATAGTATTAAATATGTTTTCGCCTCAAAGTACATTTATTAATAAAAACAGACCCAAGTAATGTGAGATATATTGTCAAATTGCGTGCCAGGAAAATCGGAATTGTTTATATATTAAATTTAGTTATTTATATATTATATTGCAGCGAAATATTTCAATTCCACTAAGATCTGAACTTGATTCAAAACAAACGGACAATAAAACAAAATTTAATTTTGTCAAAATTAATACAATCTTTATCCTATCATTTTAAATGTATTTTTGCAAATAATGTTGCTCAGTTGGGATGTTGCTTAATATATAGCTTTTAAAATGAAATATTAAAATATCAGACAGCGAATATGAGCAATTCTTATAAACCTTTTTGTCCTATAAGCCTTAGTCATATTAATTACATTGTAAAAAGTCATTAAACCTTTTTACGTTTAATGATTACCAAATATCGTGAAATTATTCTTATCAATTGAAAAACAGTGCTTAATAATGATGAAAATAGTGCTGTATGCACTGATAGATATTTCTGGAATTATTTACTGTACCCTGTGCAAAGCAATCAATGTTGAATACGAGTATAATCTATATTTTTCTAAACAGCATAAACGATTGTAAATCATAACCATTCTTAGATCATGGAAATGGAAAAATATAGAAATATTTACTGAATACACGATTGTCTTCTTTATTCTTCAATTTACTCCAATTAAACATAGGACCTTGATAATTTCATCAAATCATTTGCTGTTCAGGGGTGAAGTACATGTTCTTCTCCAAGTTTTTAACAGACCACTAGGTTAATGCTTGCGTCGTGTATTTTATTTGAAAGCTTGGTCGGCAATATAAGAGTTTGGTTTTCTCTGCTTTTGACAGACCCATTGTGATTTATGTCTTCCAAATTTACGAGCATAATAAATTCATAAATAATTCTTGAATTTTTAAATTAATTATTCATATATTTTTCGCTCTAAAAAGCTAATTTTGTTTTTGTGAGTGCAGTGTATTCGACAGAAGAAGTAAAATTCAATTAGACAAGTTCAGGATTATTATCTGCACAATTAAAATGGATTAAAAAATAATTTGGTAATGACATAAGTAAATAAAATTTTCTTTTCTATAAAAAACAATTATTAAAGCTATTTAAGCTTTTTCAAAGTTTAAAAAGCAAAGTTATAAATTTTTTTAAATATTTTAAACTTGTAATTTTTTTAATCATACCTATATATATATATATATTTATAACAAAATTTATTTATAAGCATTATGCATTTTAACATACCATCAATATTTAAAAATCTTGTGTTCGCAAAAAGCAGCAAACTTTAACTCCATTCTTTAAGAGATTTTATAATACTTTATATATAACACTTCAATCACAATTACCACTTATGCTTTCATGAAAAATTAAAAATATTTTCTTCACATTTTCAGAATAATATTTATTCTCAAATGAAAACACGCAGACTTCGCTTAATACTAGGAATAATATTTGGTATTGTTATTATTGCCCTTTTGGGAACCGCAATATACTTCATCGTAAGAGGTGGTGACTTCGACAATAATCAACCCAAGCCCGAAGAAAACGGAATAAAGTTGGAGGATGTGTTAACTGGCCGCCTCGCACCAAAACGCTTTAATGGTAGTTGGTCAGGTTCTAATCTTATATATAAAGAGGAGCATGTAAGTGAACTAACTGAAAACTAAAAATATTTAATTATACTAAAGCACTCATGTGAACAAATTTTTATTTTTATAGTCGATTGTAGAGTATGACGTGAAAACAAAAAACCGAGAAGTGTTGTTACTGAATGGATCGCAGTACGTTTTATTTGAAAAATCGGCCGACGGGCAGTTCTTACTGCTCGCTAAGAATTATAGAAAGGTACGACTATTATTAAAACAGACATAGTAAAAAAACTATTTTATTTTACAGAATTTCCGATATAGTTTTGAGGCTGAGTACGATATATATAACATTACTTCCCGTGCAATGAATCCACTCAAAATTAAAGGTGAACAGAGATCACTTATAATGGCTCAGTGGGCTCCAGTCGGCAATGGACTTGTGATAAATTTCGAACGCAATCTTTACTACAAACCGAATCCATTTGCTGACGAAATTACAATAACAAGCGATGACAACTTTGCAATATTGAATGGTGTACCCGACTGGGTTTATGAAGAGGAAGTTTTCAATTCCAATGTGGCCACATGGTTTAATCCAAATGGTACAAAAATTGCCTTTATCAAATTCGACGACTCTCCCACCCATACCATTAATTTCCCTTACTACGGAGAGGCTGGCGATTTGCGTTATCAATATCCTTTTAATCGCCTAGTTGCATATCCGAAAGCGGGTTCATCAAATCCACGTGTAAGTCTCTTCACCGCAGACCTGGAAAGTGCTGTAAAAGGTTCAGAGTTTTTGGATCCAGTTCCTGTACCCAGTGCTTTGAACACAGAAACCGATTATATCATAACTGTGGTCGACTGGTTAGACAATAATAATGTTTTATCTGTTTGGATGAATCGTATACAGAACCTAGCTTATCTGCAAGTTGTTGCAGGAAGAAAACGTCTTGAGGTATTTAAATGTTTGCAATTGCTTATATAATATTTATGTGTTTTATATTATATCTGCATAGGTATATGATATGGAATCAAAAACTGGCTGGGTTGATCTGTTTTCTACCCCGTTTAAGAACAAAGATGGCACGCGTATTGCTGTTATATTACCACAGGGGCAGGACGATGACGGCTATTTCCGACACCTTTGCATACTATCAGCAACAATTTCAAAAAGCAGTCCCGATATATTAACGAAGGGCAAATATACTGTCCAATCAATACTACATTGGGATACCACAAACGATATCATTTTCTATACCGCAAACACTGAGCAAAACTCAGAAATACTTCATGTATACTACATTCGAGCAACAACTGGTCATACTCCAAAGTGTTTAACTTGTAAATTACATACTTCGGGTGGTAAGTTTACATAATTTAAGTAAAATTATCGGTTATAAGAATTTCAATTGACAATATTTAGATGTCGAGCAAAATTATTACTCAGCTGATTTCAGCACTGATCATCAAATAGTTATTAGTTCTCTGGGACCAGGAATACCAATGACTGCCATTTATGAATGGACATATTCAAATTGTAAGAAGAGCTAGATAAACGTAAAATATTTTATATATATATCTTAATATTGTACTTACAGCTCAAGTGACGTTAAAAAAAGTCATTGACTGGGAGAACAATGAGTCATTACGTTCCAAATTAAAGTCAGTTGCAATTCCAACCGTTATAATTGATACAATACCAATAGCGAGTGGTTTTACTGCTAAGGCTTTAATGCAGTTGCCACCAAATTTGGACCGTAGTGGTAAAACAAAATACCCGATGCTTGTAGATGTATATGGAGGTCCTGATTCACATTCGGTAAATATAACAAAAAGACAATCGCATTTATAAATAAAAAAATTAAAATTTAAATTATAAATATAACGTTAGAGATTAATGATTTTATAGCTTTTAATTTATTTTTATACTAAATTTAAGAAAATAAAAGTTTTTTAAAAAAACAGCAATTTATTAATAACTTTGTTTAGGTCGTTAATAAATGGATTTTAGATTGGGGTACTTATTTATCATCAAGTCATTCTGTGATTTATGTAAAAATAGATGGACGTGGCACAAATCTTCGTGGCGATAAATTATTGCATTCCATTTACCAGAAGCTAGGTACTGTTGAAATTACGGATCAAATTGATGTAACTAAGTATGTCCACACATGCATTTTTGTTTTCTGTTTTTTTGTTATCTATATTACTTATTGTTTCAGAAAATTGCAAGCTAAATATTCTTTTATTGATGCTAATCATACTGGTATTTGGGGTTGGAGTTACGGTGGTTACGCTGCTGCTATGGCACTAGCGAACGATGATAGTCTTGCTTTCAGATGCGCTGCATCGATTGCACCTGTTACAGATTGGGCGTACTATGGTATGTTCCCCTTATATGAAATTTATTCATAATATTATAATTTGATTTCCAGATTCTATATATACGGAACGTTATATGAGATTACCTAATACAAATGAAGCTGGTTATATGAACGCTAGGTTAAGCACACGTGCTCAGAAACTAAGAGGGAAAAAATTCCTATTAGTCCATGGTACCTTAGATGATAATGTACATTATCAACAAGCAATGATTTTAGCCAAAAATCTAGAACGTTATGATATATTATTTAAACAAATTGTAAGTAATTTCAAAAAACATATTTTATATAACAGGTGTGGCCAACTAACACGACATTAATACATAAGTATTCATTGCCAGTACACAAATATAGTAGAAACCTGACTGTCATGATTATTTAAAAAAAAGTTGGCTATACTTATTATGTAATATATTTTAGAGATTATGAATCATTTATATAAATCATTTAATTAAAATCATGATTTAATTTTTTTTTTTTTTTTGATAGAGTTATCCAGATGAAGATCATGGCTTATCAGGCGTACGTCCACACTTATACCACTCATTGGATCGATTCTTCGGCGATTGCTTTGACAATAAAAATATGAATGGCTCCAAATAGTAATTATTTAGACAGAGAAAGCAACATTCACCAAAAACAACTACGCTTTATCAAAAATAAAAACGTATTGTACTTGAGTACTTTATCCGATTATCTAAAATGTAGGCGTGATCAATTATTTGTAATATGTTGAAATCAAAAATTATAAAGAATTTAGCTTTTTAGCGTATGCAGGTCCAAACCCAGGAACTTTAAAACAATAATAGAACGTTTTTATATATTGTAGCATTTAAAATAGTTAAAATTAATTTTAAAGAAAACTAAAATCAAAATCAAAAATCTATATCAAATAAAAATTATCATATTAATGATACTTGATAAACGGTATCGAAAATATGTTTCGAGTTGATATTCTGTAGTTTCATATTGCGTCTAGTATACTTAATTGAATTATTTTTTAAAACGTATTATTACTTCAGTACGAAGTCAGCTAAAGCAAAACAAATGATTATTTACAATTATTAGAGTAAGTCAAGAAACCGAAACATTCATAGATGCTTCCACATAGATGTAGCGGGTTAGTTAAGCTTAAATACAAAAATTGTGCCAAATTTTGCATTTTGATTTATCGTAGAAAATCTGCCGAAATTCGATTTTTCAAAACAAAATAGAGACTTAATTACAATTAAAATCGTAGTAAGCACTGTTGAGCATTTAAATATGTATAAATTATATTTTTATATATTTTCTTTTAAAATTTGTAAATACTGACTTTTGTTGTAAGTAATTTATTTAAATTTTACAATTTCAATATTAGGAAAATAAATAAAATAATTAAATTTATTAAACTATTATAAAATTGTTTCAATTCACGTAATCATTCCTTCGTCCTAAGTGTATAGTTTGGAGGAAGTAGGCGTGAGACACAGAATCTTTAATCAACTCACAATTAACTACTTTTAAGATCTATATATTATATTTTCTCATTCTAGTGGTCAAGAACCAGATTATTTATGAAAATTATATATGTAGAGAAATGTGATTCGATTTGCGTCGCATTTTATCGGTTGCAATTGACGACGCAAATGGGGGTATTAGTGTAATACCAAATAACTCTGGGTAAATATTTATTATTGTCAAATTTATGAAAATCAAATTATCCAAATAGTGCAATATCTTTAACATTTTCTTGCATTCGGCATTTTCTATTTATTTATTCCTTTTTGTTTAAATGATTTTAAACAATTTATTAATAAGATTTTTATTATACTTGATAATTTGCGTTCGTAAAATAATGAAAAAAGACTCGCTAGAATGTTAAAACACTTATGAAAAGAAAGAATCCATCGCTCAAATTAATTTGAAGCTTTGAATACGAAAATACTTTTTGCTTTGGTTGACCTTATATCAAAAAAGCCGTTGTAGTAATAGATTGGGTGCGAGAACAGTGACAAGTAAACAAGTATGATATAGCTTATCGCAGAATAAACATTTAGAAATTTTATTACTATATTATCGGACAGCCAAACTGAAATCCAAACTTTTAATTGAGCCATTATACCTTTCTATATAGCTGAATAAAGCAAAGAAATTTTAACCATTCTAGGTAAACAGCATAACTTTTGCATGATTCGGGCTCTGAGATATTGAAACAAAATGTTATCGAAAAAACTGATGAACTGCAGAAGAAAGGTTCTGCTATGCAAGAGAGTCTTGCACAACCATTTATTGTACTATTTAATGCAGTTAAACGTGCCAAAGCTTCCAACATATAAGACTAATAGAACACTGTATTTCCATGACAAGCAAGCATTATAGCTGATAAATAAAAATAGACTGACAACAGTGTTTACTAGTTTCTGATCTATTGGAGAGCAGGCGAGCAGAGTGGGAACTGCTTCCAATATTTACTATCACAATTGCGAGCAGATATAGGAAAAGAAAACTATTTCCCATTATCTTCTTACAAAACCAAAATTTTGTTTTACTTTTCTGAAAAATTGACATTTCTTAAATACTGTTATTCAGTAGCACCATACTATGCAACGTTATAGTAGAGCAATTCACAACATCATTAGAATATATAAATGTGATAAATGGGTGACACATTTGTTGCTAATTAATATATATTTGTATATTAAGTAAATATAGCTCTATATCATAACAAAAAAAAAAGCCAAAAAAGTATTAATCGCACAACTGAAATAAATAAGACTATTAAAAACATGTGCCACATAACTCATATTTATAAGTCACATTTTAACATGCAAGATAGCAACAAATGATACTATGATATTGTGACATAGTCATAACATTATGACACCATAACGATGCCGTGAATCATCCATTTGTAATAAACATCATATCACACATTTTAATATAGAATAAGGGATAAAAATTTATAGATTTTATTATTGAAATGGTTAATTCCTACCACTGCAAAATTCTTTTTATTTTATCACTCATCACCCGATGCCAGAAATAATATACAAAGAAATTTATAATTTCAAAACACTATTATATTAAATTAAGTAAATTCATATAAACTTTATATTAAATTGAATTTTAACGTCCGTTTTGACGAAAGAAAGTAAATTCTTAATAAAAATTATTGTTTTCAATAGAAAAGCATTTCGAATAGTATTAACTTACAACATTAAAATTTTTTTTATTTTATTTATTAATTAATTGAATTTTTGGCTGACCATATAGATGCTTCGAGTATTGCCCGATACCCATCATAAGTCTTGGAATTATTTCTTATATATAATTATTCGACATTAATTTTCTTGAGACTGTAAATACCAAAGGTTGAACTTGTGCCCTGTAATTTAAACCTCAGTATTCATTAGCCAACTGATCCAAAGCCGTACTTGACTTGTATGTTCTGAATTAAAGTTTTGTTAATTTGCTGTAAAAGTTCATTAATAAATTTACTTGCTATAGTTTATTTAAACGAAATCATAAACCAGTTGTAGAATAATTGAATTAAGAAATTATATTTTTATATTTTACTATTATTATATTGAAGCTAGTTGAGTCGTGCATTGAGCACTTTAACTCTCTATTAACTGCGAGGTTTCTTTACCATATATCCCCTTTCTACGCCTTGACTGCATTATTGCTTATCACTTCATCAGACGAAGCAATAATGAAACTCAGATCTACATACCTCCATTATTTATTGCATGATTTCATTACTCTTTCTTGTGTATAAAACCTAATCTGGGAACCTAATACGGAGAATATCATACTAATATTACTCCACTATTCGCTCACTATTCACTATTTACCACTATTTCACTATTTATATTTAAAAATGTATGAATTATTGTAAATTTTAACAGAGTTTTTGGGTCTGTGCCTGCTTCGTACCACACAGTCTGACGGCAAATCAAAAAACTGGAGAGTTCGGCATTGCAAAATGATGTTAAACATATCCCTCGTAGCCCGTCAAGCATCAGAGCCATTGAAACACGTGATAAAACGTGAAGTTTCTAATACTAATCGAAAGACAAAGCAAATAAGAGTGGTATTGAAGTTACCAAAAAAAAAGGCAGAAGAAAGTAAATTACGTAGTGAACTCTTCATAAAAGTACACCGTTTACAAAACCGTCATGATTCGTGAATTATTGACCAGAAAATACATCAATCTTCTCGACCATCCATCATATTCAGCTGGCTTGTCTTTGCATGACTTTTAGCTACTCCCTAAATTATATAACTACTCAATATATGTAGTATTTTTTCTACCTTTTTGCCATGTTATTTATAACACCTTTTTCACTTAATCGAAAGTGAGGAAATTTATAAATTAATTAATTACTTTTTGTACTTACGCATCAGGCAGGTAGACGCATTAAAATTTTTACCTTCAATATATTACAACATTAATATCCTTATAATTTATTTGTGATCATTTAGTTATGTTAGTTTTTATAAATATTTTATTAAAAGGTTATTCAATTATACAATATAAATTTATTATGACGACAATTCAAATCTCAAACATCAAAAACTCCATTTAATTTCCAAAGCGAACCTAGGAAAATATGTCGGATAAATTTTTAGTAATCGAGCTGCCCCTGTAATCACGACTTAGGTTGCCGAAGATTATAGAGCTACTTTTTTCTTGACTTCTTCTTCTTGATCAATAAGCCCATAAAGATAGTTTAAAATGTGCCAAGAATCCAATCTTGGGCATATACCACATTCTTTCTTAGCTTGTTACTGTAAATCTAACAGCGCTGCTGATTTTATGACTAAATCAAGTGATCAAAGGATGATTAATTTACGTTAAAGGTTCCGCAATGTAAGTCATATTCAATAAAAACAATTATTTATACAATATTATAAAAATAAATATAAAAAGTTTAAATATAAATATGAATAAATAAATAAATATAATATAAAAAGTAAATATAAATACAAAAAGTTTTTTAAAAATATTTTTCCAATGTTTCGCCTTCTCAGGATCATCGTATATTTTATTATTATGTATTTAAAAAAAAGGTTGTAAGCAAAAAACATGGAAGAAATTATAAACAAAAATAAAAAATTACAGAAGAGTCAAAATTAGTATTAAATACATTTTAAATTGCAATACTAAAAATAAATTTAAACACACAAATTAAATATAATCGTAATTTTAAAAATTATAAAATTATAATTATATTAAATTGGTAGTTCAAATTTATTTATAATATACTTTGAAATATATATTTAATACAAATTATATATATTTTAGTTAGATATATTTCACAGAATATTTCATTATTTTGTTTGTGACTAAATATAGTATACAATAATTTATTAGCGCGTTAATTGATCATTTAAATAAAAAAAAATCTATAATTTATTATTTATATTTAAAAACAATTTATATATTATTAAAATATTTTTTCAATATTTCGGCTATCTTCGATAGTCAGCCTCAAATAAAATATAAATTGCTTTTTAATATATTTTTAATAAATTATAGTTTTTTTATTGCTATTTAAATGACCAATTAGCCCGCTTATAAATTATTATGGATATATTTCAGATATATTTTTAAAAAAGTAATAAAGTATATGAACCCCTGATGAAGTTGTAAAACGTCGTTTTAAACGTTTTAAATTTTTTAAAATAAATTGTTTAAATATTTTATTTTAATCACAAGAATATATTGTATAATATCCCATTAAAAAATATTTTCCTGCTACTTAAAAAAAAATTAACATAAATTATTTTTTAAACATATTTACAATAATTATTGGGAAATTTTAAAGGATATCAAAATATAGGTTAGGTTAGGTTAAACCGGCGATCCCAGGGGGATCCACTTAGGCCCATAGGCCCATTGTGATACCGTATTATTTAGAACCCACGGGCTAAAACCATCCAGAACCTTTAACAAAGCTTACAATGCTACATAGAGGGAGTTCTCGAAGTTCGTCAAGATCCTCAAAAAAGAAAGCCCCCAAAAATTTAAGGCGACGCCGTGCATGTGCCGGACACGAAGAAAGCAGGTGAGAGGCACTTTCGTCATCCTCACCACAACTGCGGCAAAAATGGTTGAACGGTAGATTCAGTCTCCTAGCATGATTACCTAGAATACAATGACCTGTTAGTACACCCACTACAAGACTGATATCTCTACGGGATAACTCTAAAAGAGATTTCGATTTTCTATTGTTGGTCTGTGGCCACATTGCATACAGATGCCT